TTCTACGTGTAATGGAGGAAGCTTAAAATACAAAGATAAGCAAAGGGCTCACAATCTCACCTTGGCAATTACCTAATACCTTAACAGAAGTATGGTTTACCTTCATGACTCTGAAAGTAACACTTGAAACTTGGTTATTTTAAACTTTACTCTTTTAAGAAAAATATCTTATACACAAAGATTTACCTTAGACAAAGTTTTCCAACAACTGATAAGGCTGTATTTTTATCTTGTAAATGAGAGTGCTACATTTTTTCACTCACGATATTTCTTTTACAACTTTTATTGCAATTATTATCTCTGTTGGTTTTGAGGTTGGTTTTTTTTAAGCCAATATGAGAGCTTTCATGATCTCAAGATGTGAGTTTTCAGATTATTCATCATTTCTCCTCCTCATCTACAGATTTGCATGATACATTTGTTTATGTGCTGGCAGGTAATCGCAGCCTACCAATTTAGGTAGATGATGTAAAACAAATTCCTAAATAAGCACAGGTGCATACATTCAAATATATTGTGATTCAAATACACCTGTGACTATTTGCATTCGACGCACAAATATTAGAATTGTATCTGACTTAACTCTCTTCTGGTACTGGGGTTTGAACTAAGGGTCTTGCCCTTGCTAGACTGGTGCCCTGCCACTAGAAATATGTATGCCCTGTTTTGGTTGGTTATTTCATGAACTTTTCCACCAAGGTTGATCTCAATCCTCAGTCCCTGTTCTCAGCCTCCCAAATAGCTAGAACTACAGGTGTGAGCTACTGACAATTAGCCTGACTTTATTTTGGAAAAAAAAAAATTTAAGCTCTCTAAATTGCTAGTTTCCTCTACTATCTTCAATTAAGGTTAGTAACCTAAATGGTGTCACTAGATCTGAAATAAGAGATGAAACAAGGTACTGGATCATAATTTCAAGTCTTCTGAAACATTCCTTAAATAGAAATAAGAGAAAGCTATGGAGCAATGAATAGTAAGAAAGCTGCATATAATAGATAATCTGTTGTGGCTTTTTTTTGTTTTTAATTTGAGACTCCATCACTTACTATTGGTACAGGTATAAGCAAGCTATCATTCATGTCAGTCAGTTTCTTATCCATGAAATAGAAGTGGTGATATTTTCACTAACAGCACTAATAGTAAGAAGTGAATCTTTGTAAAAGTACAAACTATTATGTAAATCTCAGGAAATTAGGATTAACATTCACTTATAACCATATCCTAAATAGGTCTGATCAAGTTTTATTAAGCAAGTTTTAATAATCAAGTATTTTAAAGTATACAGTACCCTTATATTAGATCCATGTTGTCACAATGTTTTCTTTTTACGTATTAATGTGCTTTCAGAGAGATAGCACTATACTTTATTGAAAGGGATTCTGCTGTTACCAAGTGGTTGCTGACAGAAAGGCTTCCAAAAACACATTTACGAAAAAGAAAAAGAGAACTAGGACAACAAAATTAATTGTGTAGTAATTTTAATTCCTTTTATTTTAAGCTTGGGCTTAATGTAGAGAAGTAACTACTGTTCAGTGTGTCTCTACAAAGAGCACTTAAAACACTGTTAGGGTAGCTGTTAGATCCTTTTGAACTGTCCATTGAAAAAGAGCCTGAGGCTAGAGATTAGAGGCTCAGATCTGTAATTCTAGCTACAAAGGAAGTTGAGATTTGAGGATCCCAATTCAAACCAGCCCAGACAAGAAAGTCAGTGAGACTCAATTCCAACTAGCAACTAAAAACCAAAAACCCAGAAGTGGAGGTGTGTTTCAAGTGATAAGAGTACCAGCCTTGAGTGAAAAAGCTAAGAAACAGTGACCCGACCCAGAGTTTAAGGCCTAGTATTCCCACAATCCCTAATGGTTTTAACCCTTAGAGATTCAAATGGATTTGTTTGCCAACACTTTTCCATTAATGAAGACTACCTAGTTTGGTCCCTAATTAAGCTTGTTTATAACAGATCTTGCAGGAAGCAGAAATCTATACACTACTTGGTGAAATAAACACTAATGCAGAAGTTACTCTCTCCAGAGAACTAAAAGTAGCAAAGGACAATCTACCCACTCACCCAACCTGATCTCTGGATCAAAAATGTTAGAAAAAAATTATGTGTACAGAATATGTACCTCCTTTTAAAAAAATGTTTCTTAAACAATATGGTATAGCAACTATCTACAAAGCACTGACATAGTTTTGGGTATTATAAGTAATCTAGAAATGGATTTAAATCTATGAGGAGATATATGCAAGTTACCTGTTTTGTTTTGCTTGATAGAAGTTTAAGCACTCCTAGTTGCTAATTTCTTTTGCTATATTCCAGTTCAAGTCTTGTTTCCTAAATGATGTCTCAAGGTACAAAAAAGGACCAAACAAGGTTGTGGGTCACAATTTCCTATGTAAATCGTGTATCACTTTATATAAAGAACAAGGATGTCTGTGAGTTTTAGTGTCCTGGGGGAAGGTTGTCCTGAAACAGACATCATGTAGATGCTGAGGGGATGAAAAGACTTAGAAAATGTAAGGATTTTCTGTTTCACAAAATAAATATGCTTTTACTAATAGCTATGAGAAATTTCTTCTTCTCAACTAAAATTTAGATGGGGTATGAAGATCTCTGTCTTAATGTACTTATTTTGACAAGTAAAAGAACTATAGAAGATATTATAAATCTTTCTTTCTTTCTTTTCTATTCTTTTCTTTCTTTGCTGCTGATCCTGGGCTTTGAACTCAGGGCCAGGGTGCTTTTTTGCTCAAGGCTAGTACTTCTACCATTTGAGTCACAGGTCCACTTCTGGCTTTTTGGTATTTAATCAGGGGTCAGTCTCATGGATTTTCCTGCCTGGGCTGGCTTCAAACCATGATCCTCAGTTCTCAGCCTCCTGGTAGGTATCACCAATACTGGGTGATACCATGAAGGATGAGTTCTCCCAACTAAAGAAATAGCAGTTGCCTTCTGTTTAAATAGCTACTGTGAGTTTGTTGAATAATGTATTCTTTTTATTTCTTTGCTTTCCCCTCCCATCCTTTCTCCTACTAGCATGTAATAGTATTTGTCCCACTTTTTAGTATATCATCATGTTCCCTTATATAAATGGGCAGTTTTCTTCAGATACTCTTCAGATACAACAAAATTGCTTTGAATTTTTTGCTATTTATCTACAATGTTTTAATAAATAACTTATTTACTTCGGTTCAATCTACACACAGAATAGATTTCTAAATGACAGTTTGGCCAATAGCATCTGTAATTTTGGTGGATCCTGTCATTTTCTCCACTTCAGGGGTTGTGCCATTCTGCATTTCTACTTAATGTACATAGTTTTTAAGACCACCTATAAAAATATATACACTGGACCTATTCCCAAATTCTAAGTCCATAGATAATAGATTGGTCCTGAGCAGGCCTGTCTTGGGAAAAACCCAAAGAGCACATTCCAGGTTGACAATCTCGAGTCATCTTATTTACATTGTTTAAATCAAAAAGAGAGTCTCCTGAAATCTCTGAAGTTTATACTCCATGGGTCACTCACTCAGTAAATATTTTTGAATAGTTGTGTATTAGGCTTTCCAGATATTGAGGATATAAATAATAGTACCTTGCTATCAGGAGTCCTCAGGGACTTAGGTTCAGAGACATAGATATGTAATATGAAATAAGGTATTCGTGTTAGATTTACATGAAATAGTATGGAAACATTGAAGAGGATAACTTTACCCTAACTGGACTGCAAAGGAGGTTTGCTGGGCAGGAAGAATTAACTCCTGGGGAGGAACTACCATGTAAAAAGGAAAAAAAAATACAAGATTGCAAAAAGAAAAAAAATAGGCATAAAAGATGCAAAAATAGGAAGAACAAGGACATATATGGATGTGTAACTATAAACATTTTATGCGAAAGAAATAGGCTGCAAAAGTACACAGAGATCAGATCAGAGTGAGTACCTAGTGTGTCACATTAAGAAGCATAAATTTCACTCTGTAGGCAAAGAAAGTCACTGAAGGGTTTTAGGGCTAAGAATGAGACGGTCAGATTGCTGTTACAACTTATGGATGATCAACCAGAAGGGCATGTAACTGGAAAATAAAAGACCAGTTAGAAAACTGATGTAGTAATCTAGACGAAGGCTTGAATTGAAAGAAAAGTTAAGGAAGAATAGATTGAAGAAATTTTAGGAGGCAAAATAAGACAGGTATACATATTGGATATAGGGATAGAAGTCAATGAAAGGATGATTTCAAAGTGTTATTAATCCACTATCAGTAAAGTACTGTTTATAAGATTTTTTGTTTCCAGCAACAATGACAGTTTCATGCTGATTCAGATATACTTTCTGACCTGACTTTGGCACTTATGAGGCTGGGATAGATGTAGGGAGCCCTGCAATGGGAAAACTAGTAAGTTTATCCTTAGTAGCATCATGCTTTAAATAACCAATTAAAAGCAACCACAGGCAACCTCAATAGGCAAGCATATATCACATGTTCACATTTCAGATACACACTCTCTTATGGTAACTCCTCTATGGGTGAAATCGTTGAACTCCTTTTCCCTCTCTGCTTACGCCAGTGATGAAATGACTGCTAACAGCATAAATAACTGCAGTCTGAGAAGACTATGTAGTTGAGAGAAAACAGTATAACAGCTGCTTCCCCAAAATGTAACCTGCTGGGTCACCCTTTACATCAGGAAGGTATTTGGACAACATGGAATATGGCTACCATATAAAGGCAACCTTTTCCTTTGATGTGTGAGATTCTAATAGTGCCGTGGGGATGGAGCAGGAGGGAGCTATGTATAACCCATGTTAAACCTGGCCCTTCTCTTTCTTTCTGGGGTTTCTAAAAAACAAACTGAAGGGAAACAAAAAACAACTCAACAATCATCAGATGGAAAAAGGCCAACTGCTTAAAAAGTCAAGAATGAAATAACAGAGGGTTGTTGTGTGTAGGAGAGGAGGGGGCCGGGGAAAAAGACAGACAGACAAAGTAACATTAAAACTTACCTTTCTTTTATCTTCATCTGTTGGTTCAAATTTGAAAGTAGCCCTATGCTGAGGGGAAAAAGGAAACAGCGTCATTTTAAATACATAGATTTTGACTGCTTTTCTTTTTCAACAAAATACATGACATAATCTTCCTTGTAAAAATGTTGCTTTCCCATATCACAATATTTTTATTAAAGAGACAGGCATATAAATAAATGATCACTATAACAGAAATACATACAAAGGAGTACAGAGACTCAAGCCAGTAACTGTCAAGGAAAACTTGGGTTACATAGCATAGATACAGAACCTGGACCTTGGGAGGGATAAATAGTAGTATGTCAGGAGACAAACAGCACAAAAATAAAGGCTTAGGTGTGTGAAACTGTCATGAAACAATCAGCTCTGTGAGACTGTTATATGGGACACATGTTAAGGGACAGGATTCAGAGGAGGATGAGAATGGAGAAATAGACTGGACTGAGATTTTAAAAGGCTTTCCAATCTTAATCAGTTTACATTTTCTTTCTTTCTTTTTACTATGCCATAAAAAAGTCATCAGATAAAACCTTGATATTTAGAGAGTCACCCTGAATGAATGAGAGTTTAAGTCATGGCTCTACCACTTAACTAGCTGTGCTCTCAAGCAAGTAACTATGACTGGGCTTCTCATATGAAAACAGAGAGGGACGGCACACATAAGTTCACAGGATGGTTATGAGGATCCAAACAGCTATGGCATTTAAAACACCACCTCACTGCCTGGCATATACTAAATACTCAGGTTATCATGATGATGATGATGATGATGCCAATGATATAGTGGGGAAAAATTATTGAAAGGGAAGAGTGTTGAGACTCTCCTGAAATGATTGGGAATGTATTTTTTACTTTGTGGTTGAATCAGAGAACAACAGAATATGTTGGCTTGCACATGAAGCGTAGTGGTATCTCTAAGAAAGGGATAAGGAGGGAAAGGGGTACCCGAAACACAGAGCACATAATTCCTCATTCTCTCAAGTTTCAGTCAGGAGAACCAGGCGTTCACAGGTGTGGTGGTACACATCTGGAATCCCAGCTACTTGGGAAGTGGAGACAGAAGAATTTGCTCAGGCAAAGTCAGCACCAGACGCTATCTGGAAAACAAACTGAAAGTACAGGGACTAGAGGGTTGTGGTTCAGGTGGTAGAATACCTGCTTAGCAAGCATGGGGTCTTGAGTTCAATTCCCAGTCTCTCTCTCTCTCTCTCTCTCTCTCTCTCACACACACACACACACACAAGAAAAACAAGTATTCTTATGATTCTTCCATCTTCCTTTAACAGCATAAACAAAAACAAAACAGAAAAAACCCTAAAAACAAAACACACCCACTCCATTGAATATCTCTATTTTTACTTTGTATTTTTTCCTTACTGGCCACTCTGACAAATGGGTACTGGCAACCCACCAGGAATTAAGTACATTAAGTACTAAAGATAGCATCATTACAGGTGGTTCTGTGTTGACAGCTTTGTAGAGTAGCCATTTTTGAAATTAAATGAGATGAAGAAAAGGAAGCAGTTCTGAATTTAAGAAATCATTAGAGGGAAGCTAAGGTAAGATATGAAGGCCACGTAAGGAAATTTCACGGAGACTGCCTTAAATATGGACATGGAACAATTAAGATGGGTGAACAATTAAGATGGGTGAAGTTAGGTGGTAAGGACATAGATTTAAAAATATGTACCTAAAATAGCAGGCAACCAGGAGAAAACTAGGAAGGAGGAATGAACAGCATTCAGGAAGAATATTTTAGGCAGCTGCTCACCAGCCCTGGCTAACTCAGAAGAAAGCAAGACTAACAACATAAGGAAGTGAGGAGTGGGTATCGAAATCTAGGCGTGATCTTGTTGGTGGCAGTAAACACTGACACAAACCTTAAAAGGGAAAATGATTTGGCAATACATATTAGTAGCCATAAAAATATTTATCCTCTTTGACCCAGATCGCCTACTCCTAAGAATTTATCCTAATGAAATCATCCAGGAGACATAAATTATGTATGTAAGCATATTCTGTGTTATTTAATAAGGCAAAAGGAAGAGAGACAAGCTGAATATCCAGGAAGAGACTGATGAAATGTGTATGTAACACTAATCTACTGAACATACCATGTCCATCTAATAAAATATTATACAGCAATGAAAAAAGACTCTTTGTTGATATGTTATTTTTACAATATGTTATTTTACAATAAAGAATAAAAGATAAATAAAGAAATGAATAAACAAGAAAGGAAGGAAGAAAGAATAAATTGTAAACCTGAGGGATATTCTTAGGAATTTACAGACCTAATATTTAGTAGGAAAAAAAGTAGCATTAAAGCACCCAGTATAAGGCCAAAGTCATAAAAGGAAACTCAATAAAGGTTTAACACAAATGAAACCGAATAATTGTACTAGAAACCAAAAGAAAAGCATTTTATGCTATTCTACATAAAACAGTAATTAGATAAATTATCTGGAATAAATGTGCCTAGTTCTTAATATACAATGATTCTCATAAACTTTTTTTTTGGCTTTTATGGAGACAAGGAAACACAAAAAAAAATTATCTTCTTTTGGAAAGATACCCATTAAGTTAGAAATATACTTTTAAGTATTTCCTGTGTAGAATTAATCTTTTTAGGTGAAAATTTAGAATGGTATAAAGGCTAATTTTTCTGTTGCTTTTCATATGCAAGGTTGTATCATAAAATCACATTAAAAAAATCAAGCGACATTCTGGTGGCTCACGCCTACAATTCTTGCTACTCAGGAGCTGAGATCTGAGGATCATGGTTCAAGGCCAACCTGGACAGTAACATGAGACTATTATTTCCAATTATCCATCAAAAAAGCCAGAAGTGGAGGCGTGGCTCAAATGGTAGAACACTATCCTTGAGCAAAAAAGTTTAGAGCCAGTGCCCAGGCCCTGAGTTTAAGCCCTAGTTTAATAGTTTAAGTCCCAGGAGAGACAGACAGACAGACAGACAGACAGACAGACAGACAGACAGACACACACACACACACACACACACACACACACACACACACACACGTGCGCACATGCCTATCTTCCAAAAGCCCTGTCAGACCAGCATGAAGGCTTAATTAGAAACTACACTGACATGTATGGCATTAAATACTAAACTCTGAATGTACCAATCTGTTCAGAAGCTCAACTCGCTCAGATTAGTAGTATCTAATAGATGTAGGCATCTACAAGGCTAGCTTCTTTTAGCAAATTTGAACCATATTGAATGTACCTAAAATCCTTATTCTCTCCTCTTTCTAAAGCTCAAATTGGGAGAAAGAGAACTAGCATTCTAGCTATAAATATCTTTTATGAGTATTTGTCAACAGTCAACCACCTTATCTTTATACCCTTAATTTCCAGAGGAATAAGAGCAACAAGACAAATATAAACTAAAGAATCAAACCATGACTCAATTTACAGACCAAGTTTTAGAGTAGCTCAATGACACAGAGACCCATGAAGACTCCTGAATATAGGTTTTGTACCCTATGAGTAGGCTCTAAAATTCTCAAGCATTAAACAACCTTGAGTTTGAGTCCAGTCTAAGTACAACCTTGGTCAAGTTATCCAACTCTACGGCACTTCAGATTTCCTTTAAGTTACAGCTCTTCTCACATGGTAGTCATTCATTAAATGGCCACTGTTGTTATCATTTTGCCTCTGGCCAAATAATAAGCCATTAGAACACTAGGAATTAGTTCCTAGATTTGTAAAGATTATACGTAAACAGACCAATGCAAGAAAACAGGCCTAAGTAGGATGGCTGTGAGTTGGCTGTGCTGCATTTTATCAACAGTTTGCTGAGAATCGAGTAACAGGTTATGCACTACAATCTGGAAAAAAGAACAAGGCAACAAAGGAAAGTGTACACCTCTGCAAAAACCAGGGTGACTCAGAAGGTAGAACTAAACCTCAAATTGGAAAGCAAAAAGTCCTCCTATTTGGCCCAGTATATTCAAACACCTCATTCAAATGTAGAGGCTGTATTTCTAGAACTGTCCCAAATATTGAGTGTCTATCCATCAGGACTCTAAAAAAAAACCAAAAACAAAAACAAAAAACAACCAAGACCTTAGTACTATTGTAGCAATTTCCTTCTCCTGTAAGTTACTATTGGAGATCAACCTATTTGACAGCATCTTAAGTAACTTAATTTAACCACAAACTTGTCTTATTTCCACAGCAGAATCCTGATGGAGCTTGCTATGGCATAGCTATATGCCCAGGTGGCTTCTATACCTGTCAAACCATCTCTTGAGTCATCATCTTAGTTGATGACATGACTCTAGGCAGTTTCTTCACCTATTAAAAGAGAAGTTTGGACCCAACTGTCTTTGAGATTCTTTCCACTTGGTGATTCTGTGATTCTGACTGGTGGGGGTGAAAGGCAGCTCGATGGCAAAGCATGCTCTTCACATATGCTAGGGATTCAATCAATGTCCAGCAAATCTTGGGATTCAGGATATTACACTGTGCACCTGAGGGCTTGATCACAGTCTTCTGTTGGCATAATGAGTCCTGGGCATAGAATCTAAAGAGCAGATGCATAACTTAAGCTTTGTATACAGTTACTTTGTCTCTTTGAACCTCAATTTCCTATTCAAAACAAAATACATCTGCCTTATAACTTTTAATATGAGAGGATTATATGTGATGACATGAAAGTTCTTAGGAAAATATAATAGTGTGTATCAGGTACTCAATAAATGTTAACATGTGAACTTGGAGGAATAACTACTCTTAAAAAAATTCTCTAGTTCCAAGTCAATGTGTAGATGAACTGACAAGTTCTTCTGTTCTTTCTAGGATACAGATCTTCCCTTTCCCAAGATAACAGGGTCAATGTATGAAGCAAGAAATTAGATGTTTTCTAGAGTCAGACAGAACTGTTGCTCTGAGCACCGTACAGGATATGCCATGCTAATGACACCCACTAGAAGGTGCAAGGGGGGTTAAGGAAGCAGTGGTGGGAAAGCCGGGGAGGGAGGGGGGAGGGAGGAAGAAAGAGTAGACACCTAAATTTCTTACTGTGTTATGTCAACTCAGTACTACCTGTGGTTCCTAACTTTGTTGGTCAAAGCTAACAGTTATGGGTTTCTTACTTCCTTGGTGATAAGACACTGTTCTAAATGCTTTACATCTGTAACTCACTTAATTCTGAAAACAATCTTATGATATGATACTTTATTATTCATTTGGCAGATGAGAGCATTAGGCACAGCAAAGTTAAACAACATGTCCTAGACTACTTAATTCTAAACTAATGATCAGCATCTAGGCAGTCTGGAACCAGAGCTTGTATCAGACCACACAACCTCTTGAATTACCTTGACTATTATTCTCATAACCTACTAAGTGAGCACCTCCTCAGTGTACTGTGCTCACTGTTTGGCTTTTATTCTTCATTTAACTTATTCCACAAAATAAATTAAGAGGAAAAATAGTATTATCCTTGTTTTACAGATAAAGTAACTGAGACTCAAAAGCCTTAAATAATTTATCCATAATCTTGAAGCTAATTAATGGTAGAGTTGGGACTGGAACTAGGATTTACCTGATGCCACGTATACCTTCTAAAATACTTGAAAATAGTCTTTATTAGCTATAATAAACATAATGAACCTCCCTTCTTTATTCTTTCAAACCGTGAATTATCATTTCTTTACATCATTCATTCCTCTTTTGTTTGGACTTCTTAATATCTTACAATCACTTCTGATTCCAAAAATTTCCCAAATGCATTGCTCCAGATAAGAAAATAAGCACATGCTATCCAACTGCTTTTTTCAGGGTGTCAGATTCCATATACCACAAAGCCAAGCAGTTTATTTCCATTCCTCTATTCATATTTCCTAACTACTGATATAGTATTTCCCTTCTACTCATCTTCCTGCAAGTTTCTCTTTCTCTGAGGGGCAAAGCTTCAGAGCAATATGAAGCTCAGTTATTATCTTGTACTAGACCTATCATACTTACATTACTATAATCAGCATTTACATGGAGCTTTCTTCTCAAAGACTAAACAGACCTTTCTATAAAATCAAAATATCCTTAGGTTTGGCTTGGCCAAAAAGTGCAATTATCTGGAATCTTCTAAAGCATTTCAGGATATCACCTTAAGCCATGCTTACGAGGCACGACTGGGAATATGGCTTAGTGGTAGAATGCAAGAAGCCCTGGGTAGCACATACACAGAAAAAGCCAGAAGTGGTGCTGTGACTCAAGCTCTAGTCTTGAGCAAAAGAAGCTCAAGGACAGGCCCAGGGCCTGAGTTCAAGCCCCAGGACTGGCAAAAAATAAATAATCCTAATATGAAAAAGACGGATCTGAAAATGTCCAATACTTAGGCTCTAACAAAAGCTGGCAAGGAATCACAAGTAGAAACCAACCTGGAGGAAGATCAAGGAGAGGAAGAGAAAATTTAGAGAAAGTAAATGTATGGGTGTGTGTCTAATTTAGCCATGAAGGAAAATAGAAATATAAGAAAGTATTAAGTTCCAGGTGTAGGTTTTTCCTCCTCCCTCCCCTAAAGAAAGTCTATTTATTGCTGGGTATCTGACACATAGTAAGTACTAAATAAACACTAGTTAGTTTGAGACAATGGACACATTCTCTATTATACTTCTTTGGGAAATAAATTGGTAGCTGGTTCATATCTTTTCTGGAAAGCAGTAATAAATCAAGTTAAAAGAACATCATCTACACCACACACCTACACATTAAATGAATATCCTAAATTAAGCAAATATGCTCAACAGTAGAGCATATCAGAAAGTGAAGGGCAAAGATGTGAACAGAATACAGCCCATGCAGCTTCCCAAAGAAAGAGGCAGAGCAGAAAGAACACTGGACTTAAGATTTGAAAAAGCAGATTCAAACTTTAGTCCTTTCATTGGCTATGTGGATTAGGGACTATATTATGGCTGTAAATTTTACCATTTATAAAATCTTACCATTTATACTCTACTCACAGTGTTGCTGGGAGGATTAAATGGGAAGAAAGGTTCTTCACAAATAAGGATCTTTGCTATGAGGGACATAAATGGCATACTGGCAGCTCAGTAATACAAAGTATATGAAAGTGTATATATGTAGTGGACACAGAAGCAGAAGGGGAAACCATGATGGGGGCAAAAGAAAGGAAGATGGTATGTACAGGATGTGACTTGGTGTTGGTGTGTTTTTACGGAAGAGAGCAGTCAAGTCACTCCTATAAAGCAGTCTTCTAAAAAAACTAGAGGTGTGATATGCTGCATTTTGAAGTGAACATGTAAAATTCCTGGAAGGAACAGTAAAGACAAGCTAACGGTTCTTAGAGATTCAGAGAAGTGACTGGGATTTATAATAAGACACCATTTCACTGCAGAGTTGTAAAGTGGGAAGGATAAACAATGAATGGAGAGCTGGAAGACACCTCAGTTGGAATCCTGGCTCCCAAGTATGACCTTGGGCAAATTATTTAATCCATCTAGAGACTCAATTGCAAAACATAGATAATACCTCACAGGACTGCTGTCAAGATCAAATGAGATAATGAATAGGAAAGCCGTTAATGCGATACAAATAATAGGTATCATTAGGAGTTAGGTTCTCCACCCACTTACAACATAATATGTCCATGACCTTGGGCGTGATTTCAGTTCTTTGCACCTCGGTTTCCTCACCTATAAAATGGGAAGGATGATACCATCTACCCTATAAATATATTCTTTGAGGATCAAATGAGACCACATAAGAGACGTCAACGCCTTGAAAACTACAGTGGTGTGGTACAGAAAGCACTGCCATCGTTGCTGATGTGTTTCGTGCATGTTTAAGGGCCGTGATCTTTTGAGGGCTTTTTGTTGTTGTTGTTGGTCGTTTTTTGTTTGCAGGGAATCACTGCCCCCCCCCTCGCCATGCTATACAGGTGAGGAAGCCTCGCATGCATTTATGCATCCAAGAGATGGGCACAGGGCACAGACGCATGTCTACGGATTCTGGGGGTGTGACTCGCACTGTTGGGAAAAGGATGGTTGGGACAGGTTGCTGGGCTAGGAATCCGAGGAGTGGGCTCTTAAGTGTGGGAGCGAGGGAGGAGGAGGAGAGAGGGGATGCAGGGTGCACGGATGGGAAAGGGCTGGGGGCACAAACACGCATGCCCAAGCCGGAAACGTTTTTGGGGGAGAAGCAATGCGCATCCCCGGAATGAGGGGGAGGGGGATGGATCGGGATGCGACAAGCAAGCCCCTAGGGCGGCCTGGGGAGGGGGGGGTGCGACAGGGCACGCAGGGGGTCGGGGCTCTTTACCTTGTCGCTGTAATCCTTCAGGACCCGCTCGATAGCCCCCGCCTCGCCGGCCCGGACGATGTAGAGGGCGCGCTCCTCATCCATGGCCGCAGGTGCGGGGGAGCCGCGGCCGCCGTGCGCGCCCGAGCCGCTGCCTCCAGGTAAACGCCTCGCGCCCCCGCTCGCCCGCTCGCTCCTTCCCAGCTTCCTTCCTTCCCTCCTTCCCTCCCTCCCTCCAGTCTCCAGCCCGCCAGCCTCCGCCCGGGCAGGCCCGACGTCACCGCCCCTCAACTTTCACCCCGCGACGTCACCGCTCCCCCAGCAACCGCTGCCTCGCGGCCGCCCCTGACCAGGCCTGGGACGCGGCGGAGGCCTAAGGCGAGCGGTCTGAGGCGGCCCAGGGCCCTGCTGGTGCTCCGGTTCCCAGCCTCGGAGAAGAGTCTGGTCTTTGCAGTAAGCTTCCACAGGCTGGACTGTTCTCTCCTGACTCTCCTCTATGAATCATTCTCCTCAGCGGACAAGAGCAACCCTGCTCTTCCCCGCCCATTTGTGAGCCAGTGGCTGCGGACTACCATTCCCGGCATACAACAGGGCCTCTCTAACTCTTCCATCCAACCCCATGGAGAACCGAGTGGCATGCCGGGATTAGTAGTCACCCGGCGGGGAAAGACTTCCGCCGAGGGCATGCTGGGAGTTGTAGTCTTGGGAAGAGCCGGAAATGGAGTGTCCAGGGATGGCTGGCAGACCGTTAGGGGGAGGGTCTGACCTGCGGTAGTGCTTGAGGGTTGTTTGTTGTTGGCGGTGGTGGTGGTGAATGTCGAGCTCCAGACGTGACTGGGTCTTCCCAGCTGACCGTCGCGGGAAAGTGCCGCCTCTTGGTTGCGAGCTGTCAAGCACCAACTTAATCCCCTCTGCTCTGGCTTAGCGGTTTCGGTCTCTGGGATTCTTGCCTTCCGTCCTTGGGTGCGGTGGTTGGTGTGAGGCCCTCGGTAATGTGGGAGCTGCAGGCAATTGCCTAGACATGGAGGCGGGGGGGGACCTGGAGACGTTTTGCGTCAATCATCTCTGCCATATTCTTGTGCTGATGTATGAGCCCCACATCTGTTGGGTGACTTCCATACCATCCATCCACTCTTTTCCACAGCCCAAGTGTGTGTGAGTAACACAAACAATCCAGGACAAGTCAAGGAAGTTGAGATCAGAACCCAGATCTTTTCCCCCGAAGGATGGCTGCTACCTCTAATCTTCTTGCCCATAAATGCCACAACACTAATAAAATAGTGGTGGTGCCTAGGAAGGTTAAGGCTAAGTGTGAACACCTGCCAGGCACTCTTATTACATACTTTCACTGTGTTGCACATTTTCTCACACATACTTGAGTAACTCTTTGAAAACCTGGGCTCTGTGAGGAGGCAGTGCGATGCACAACGTACAAAGAGCCCCCCCCCCAAAAAAAAAACAATCCAAACCTTCACAGAGAGTCTACTCTACTGAGCAAGCCCATGAACCACCCTAGATAAGGAGATCATCTTAGACACGGTAAAAAAAAAAATGCATATTTTGGGAACTGAATTTGAACTTGAAGTCTGTTCTCTTCCCCTTTTCTCAGCAAGTGGATGAATTCCCCCAAGTACCATCTCAGGTTTTTATCCCAGCAATCATTTTTGGATGCCTCTCTCGCTGGCTCCCTCTTTAGCTATGCTGAAAGGGAACTAAAGGAAGCAAAAGGTTATTCATCTAATGAGTCTTTTTCTATATTGTGCTAAACATTAGGAATTTGGAAATGAACCTGACGTGTGTGCGTGTGTGTGTTTTCTGTACATTGTACATTTTTTCTTTTTTTTTTGGGCGGGGGTCTGGTCGTGGGGCCTGAACTCTGGGCCTGAGCGCTGTCCCTCAGCTCTTCAGCTCAAGGCTAGCGCTCTACCACTTGAGCCATAGCCCCACTTCTGGCTTTTTTTTTCTTTTTGTTTATGTGGTGCTGGGGAATCGAACCCAGGGCCTCAGGCATGCAAGGCAAGCGCTCTACCACTGAGCCACCTTCCCAGCCCCTGTACATTGTACTTTTCATGCAGCAACCAGTAAGAGTATATTTTGTTGCAGGTGTGTAGTCAGTTTTCTGTTACTGTGACAATAAAAGATTTATTTTGGCTCATGATTTCAGTCTCTGGTTGCTTATCCCCATTACCTTTGGGCCTATGGCAAAACAGTACTTTGTGGCTGCAAGTCTATGATGGTGAAAGCTGCTCACCTCATGGCAGCTAAGAAACTGGAAGTGGTCAGGGTAGGATCACAATTTCCTCTTCTAGAGCCCACCCTGATAACCTGTCTTCATTTGACTATATCTCACCTCTTACAGGCTCTACCATCCAATAGTACTTGAGGGTGAGGACCAAATCTTTAACACATGGGCCTTTGAGGGACATTTCAATCCACTCTATTACAGGGTAGGTTCTGCATCAATAATAGACTAAGAACAATGTTAATCTATCTCTCAAAAACAGCACACTTCTTAGGTCATGAAATAGTAAGTTACAATTCCAAGGGAAGACTAATACCTTCCAATTGTTTTTTTTTAACAGTTTACAAAATATTTTAGTATACTTGATTTCAATAGATTGCTAGTCAAGGTGTTATTCCACTTTGTAGATAAGAAAACAGCTACACAAACACTTAAACAAAGCTGTTAAAGAGTGTTTGGGTGCCTCCCCTGTACCCAGAACTGTATTAACTGTTTGGAGTAATCATATATTTTCTTTTGAACAAAGGTGGTCTGGAAAGTACAAAATATATAAAGCAAAAAGTCACAGTAGAGAAGTTTCTTTTAAAGAAGCTCTTATACATGTCTTGGAAATGCCGGCTTACCAAAAATAGGCTATATTTTTAAGCTCCAATTCTGTACTTTTAACAAGAAATTAATATCTTGGGAAGTTGTACTTTAATAATTTTAATTGAGTGTTAATATCCCAAATGTATAAATCAAAGGATCTTTGACTCTAACTCAAGTTATCCTTTGACCACTGAGCAGACTCTGGTGCTAGAAAAATTAATTTTCTCCAAAATCAATAGTTAAATACAGTCTCTGGGACTAGAGCCTAGACTACCACTTGCATTGCTTTGCCTTCCTAAATATTAGTTATGTGATACTTTTAGTAACTAAAGACTCTAGCCAGCAGTCAGATAGTTCCCATTGATTCTAGGTACTATGGTACCAAGGAATTAAGATTTAGAGCCTGAGTTGATAAAAGCAACAAATACCTAGTAACAACTCATTATTCTGATAATATACATATATATTCTCAAAATGTCTCCATGTGCCAGGCTCATGCCTATAATCCTAGCCATTCAGGAGGCTATGACCTGAAACTCACAGTTCAAAACCAGTTTAAGCAGGAAAGTCCATGAAACCCTTTAATTAACCCTTCCCCCCAACCCCACCCCACACACAAAAAAAACAGAAGTGGAGCTGTGGCTCAGGTTGTGTAGTGCTAGCCTTGATCACAAAAGCTCAGGGAGAATGCCCAGGCCCTGAGTTCAAGCCTCAGGCTCAGTGCATGCATGTGCACGCACGCCTGCACGTACACACACACACACACACACACACACACACCCCTTCATGTAGACTATCTGATTAAACTCTTAAAATAACTGAACAATGTAAGGTCAATAGGACAGGTACTATTTTTTATATAGGGAAAGAGAAGTTCAAGGTGTCAGCTTGCTCATAAGCAAATAAGTCAGCTAATAAGTGGTATAAGTTAAGAGCTTGAAGTACTCTAGGCTCTGATAACAAAATATTATAGACTTTCAGGTTAGGGCCAATGAAAAAGCCTGCAGATAGACACTAGTCATTTATTTTGGACTTTGATATATCCTGCTGTGGCATTTCCTCTTGCTATAACAATGGGCTAGTTGGAATGTACAAAATTGAAGGTCTTTCAGGAGTACCTAGTGCTGACAGCTTTTAAAATCCAACTCTCCCACGTGCAATACTTTTTGTACATTTCCTTTATAAGCTGAAATTTAGGAACTAAACAGCCCAATCTAGTGATTGCAGCTCCAGAATTAGAGTTCAGAGAATTCCATTAATTCAAGGTATGACCTGACACCCATGGTATATCTCACTGCATAAAATCCACTCACTCAGCCTCTCTTAAACCAGTATCCTTAGCTATCACTGTCCTCAGATATTTTAGTTCTCAGTTCTAAAATTTTCTGATTCTAAAACCAAAAAGTCCACACTTAAATACTTGTGTGTTCTTTAGAAAAACGTATGAAGACAGGGCTTGTACAAATCACTATGCACAAAACAACTATCAATATGATATGTCCAGGGCACACCTATAAAGGTTTCAATTCAGTTGATTTGTGGTGAAGCCTCTGAATAGGTAATTTTAAAAGCTTTCCAGTTGATTTGATACAAGCAGCCAAGATTTAAAACTACTAAACTAATATTCTGACAAGGAAATCAACCACTGAACTAGCTTCTTGGAACACTATTAAGCATGTAACTTAGTCTTTGAGAAATCAGAGTAACCTGGTAAAATGGAAGTTATCTTTGTCCATAGCAAAGCCAATTAACATAATTTGTTCCAAATATTTTATGCTCTTTGAAGCACACCATTGTGTTAAGCATTATGAAAAATGACCAATGCCAAAACAAGTAGTAATCATTGATCTGTCCTTTGGATGGAAGCAGACAATAACTAATTTCTTTTCAATGATAAAATATCAGACATAGCTAGTACACAAACCAAAGCAAGAGAAAACATTAATAAGAAAAAAGTAATGAGTCAAGCTTCCTTGGAGGAGCTTTTGGGAATGGGGGGGAGATTTTGGGGGGGGTTACCAGAAATGAGGAATGTTGTGAGAAGAGATATGGATGCCCAAATTAACACATTTATTAAGAAATGACACCAACTTTATTATATTTGAAAGCCAGTAACAGGGAATTTTTCTTAGAGGTCAAGTTGGTCAACAGAATGAAGTAAACTTAAATCTGATATTTTATCATCACTAACGGCTTTATATTCAGCCAAGGAGCCATCAGCTTATATTACCTTCTTGAAAACATTGCTGTACAACAACGAATGACAGAAATTTAAATAGAACTAGAAAACAGAAGGGGAGCTCGGATGTTGGCTGGCCTTAGGTACTTATGCATGTGATATCCGGGTCTCATTTGTAAAA